AGCACAGAGCCCAACACGGGGCTCGAACTCACGAACTGTGAGATATTGACCAGAACCGAAGTCGGACGCTCAAACGCCTGAGCCCCCAGGCTCCCTGAGATAAGGCTAATTTAAACTGCACTAAGTCATTTCCCTGCCACTCCTGAGTTGGGGCTGATGAAGAAGATGGGCGAGCAGCCGACCAGCACACAGCTTCCATCGTCCCCGAAAGCGTGAGTTGCAGTATGCATCAGCTAGCAAGGCTGCTGTTCTCCCGCACTTTAAAAACTAGAGATGGAATCTTCCAGGGTAGAGTCATGAACACAACGGTATCTCTGGACAGAAAGCCGATGCGATAGAATGTCTCATCCCGTTGTTATAACTTACTTGTTTTCTCACTGTCCTTGGTCGGCAAGCAGTGATTTCTGTCTCCAAAAAGGAGACCCAGAGGGCTGGCTGTTTCGTCTCAAAGGCGGGCTGCTCTGACTCAGGGTAGTGAGAGGTAAGCAGCTGAGTTAGGTGGTCCCTCTAGGAAAACATGTGCTCAGGAATCAGAATGGATCGCTGATTCTGGAAAGAACCCCACACTCCCAGGTGACCGTGCTGTAGCTTTGTGAAGCAGATGTAAGGACTGAACAAAAACAGTTGTTCCCTGCTGAGTAGAAAGAGGCTTTTCCGCCTGCACACCAGCGCCTGCAGGGCTCGGTTGGCCTGGGGCTTTATCTGCGTGTTCCCTGCTTTCCTGGGCTCCCTTGGAAGAATGAGGAAGGACAGGATGCCCGGACAAATTAGCACGGAACTACCTAATTCTCCGACTCACACTCTCGCTGCACATGACCCTGGAGAAACGATCACATTCCTGTGTGTGTGAGTGTTTCCGCGTGTAGGGTTTTGGGAGAAGTAAGTGTACTGTGGACGAAAGCGTGTGGCTCCATATCTGGTCCTTGGGTGCTCGGTCAGTGAGCTTGTCGTTACTATCATTAAAATAGACAAGAGGAGGGGCGCCTGGATGGCTCAGTAGATTAAGCATCAGACTTTGGTTCAGGTCATGATCTCACAGTCTGTGGGATCGAGCTGTGCTGACAGCTCGGGCCCTGGAGCCTGCTTTGGATGCTGTGTCTCCCTCTCTCTCTGCCCCTCCCCTGCTCATACTCTCTCTCTCTCTCAAACTGAATAAAACATTTAAACAATTTTTTTTTTTTTTTAAGAATAAAAGCACCTGGGGGCACCTGGGTGGCTCAGTTGGTTGAGCACCAGACCTCGGCTCAGGTCATGATCTCACGGTCCGTGAGTTCGAGCCCCGCGTCGGGTTCTGTGCTGACAGCTCAGAGCCTGGAGCCTGGTTCGGATTCTGTGTCTCCCTCTCTCTCTGCCCCTCTCCTGCTCACGATCTGTGACTCTGTTTCTCAAAAATGAATAAATGTTAAAAAAAAGACAAATTTAAAATAGACAAGAGGAGGTGGAGGTGGGGGATACCACTTTTGGAAGGGGGGGCATGGAACATACCACTGAATCCAGGAGAGACAGGAAAGCAGCATCTTATAAAGTAATGCTTTGCAGTTTGGGGGGTGTGTCTTCTTATCCCCTGAGAGACCATCCTGGGTCAATAATCAATATCTCTGGACTTAATATACTATTATTTTTTTTGGAATGTAAGTTCTGTTTGACGTTTATTTTTAGACCATTGTCTGGTGTGAGAATGCATCACCCCAAGTGTAGGTTGCACTAATCCCAGGGTCTAACCGGCCCCGAATCCCAGATCAGGGACTGAGCAACTTTTAGTAACCTCGAAGGACCTCTGGATGGGAGGTTGGCCTTGATCTTTGGGACACAGCTGTGGTGAGGGCGGTCACGGCACCCACCTGTTGCGCTGGGGTCTACATTTCATGGTTTCCTTTTGGATGCCTTTATTTATTTATTTATTTATTTATTTATTTATTTATTTAATGAATTGGGGAGACTAGTCTTTTTATCTTTCTGCTTTATTAAAAAACATCAGGGGCGCCTGGGTGGCGCAGTCGGTTAAGCGTCCGACTTCAGCCAGGTCACGATCTCGCGGTCCGTGAGTTTGAGC